AAATCCCTTCACGAAGGCTAGAATTGGACACAAGGTTGACATGAAAGGAACTTTGGTCAAAACGCCGAATAAATTTGGAATAATCTATGGCGAAATTTCCGGTGGTCTGACTTCTTTCGGCTTGCCCGCTTCCTGTAAAAAAAAACAATTTGTGGACAAAGTAAAACTTATGGTGATGTTAAGGGACAGTCTGAATCAATTTTTTAAAAACTATTTGCACGTAACAGACGAACAACGTAAGAAAGTTAATAGTCTACGGTTGGTTGCAATGTGATATTTAGTATATATTAAAAAAATATATTAATATTTTAAATGTCAGGAGTTGAACTAAGCTTTTTACGCTATGTATTGTGCAAACAGTTTTTTTTTGATATCTAATATAGATTTACAAGAACTATTATTAGCTATTGTTTTTAATATAACAACACGCTGTAATCTATACAAATCGATGATGAAATTTTGAGCTACAGTTGTATTAGGGGCTGTCGCATTATATCCAGCTATGTTCGGAACTCCTGCTATGATCGGCGGATCCCAAAAGACATCCGATACTGGAATTGTTACTGTATAATGAGGTAATCCTGCACCAGTACAACCGGTAGCTAGATTACTGTTAAATTGCAAAGTTCCAAAGTCCCACTATAATATTGCAAATTTTATATTTAAGCTCTAAGATGGAAATACTAACAGTGGATCAATCTTACTTGTAAAATAGAAACTCCGGCTAAGTTTGGTAATGGGGTACTTCCTGCTGGTGGCGGAAGTTGCTGAGTCCACAATTTAGCCTAATATCAAAAAGAAACTCTTAGAGATGAAATTATATAAATAAAGCAGATAGTTAGACATATCCACATACCAACATAGTACGGTCATTTGATCCTTTGCGTTTTTCATAAAGTTTTATTTCACAAACACTTCGCACATATTGTTGTTGTAACCAACCTTCACATTTTGTATTTAAAAAATCCCATCCTTTACCTACAGCTACCTTTACGATTATCCGCGAGTGTGGATTTTGCTATGTGAACATATTAATATCAATAAAATAGCTCAAGATAAAATGTGATAATATATTATTAGACTCTATGTACCCTTATATCACCGGTAGGAGGTCCGGGATTCAGAGGAGGTTGAACAAGTGTTATATGCGGACAGATTGCAATATCTGCCACTGTTTTTACTCTGACATTAGTAGGATCATCATAATGATCTATAGAAAAAAATGTAAAATGTTATTATGATCCAAGGATCAAGAGAACTAGAGGAATTCTTACATGATTAAAGCGCAATATCTATTGGTGGATCATCGTCAATGCCACCGTTTGAAACATTAAAGTATTTAATTAATCGTAAAACAACGGCTTCATGCTCAGGGTTTGCCATATCGACAATATGTACGTCTCCGTTGTCCCAGTGAAATTTATATCCAGTTGAAATGTTATTTTCAAGAAAATTGTTATAAGCTTCTACAGAAACTCTCGAACCAATCTGGAAAGGTAACCTGCAACCATATAATGAATCAACACTGAACAACTCAAGGATCATAGTAAAATGCACTCACTTACTTTTCTCTGGAGTCCTTTCCGGTAAAACTGGATAGTTCAGGTATCTATAGAGCTTATTTAGAACTTTCATTACTATTGAAAATATTTTAAACATTAAAGGAGGTTTCGTTAAAACAATGTAAGGAACAAAATTCGAATGATGAAATACCAGGGATGTGCAACGTAATGGGTGTGGCAAATTAGTTAATCGCAACATATTAGAATACTGTATATTGATGATCATCAAATGATATTTTTTTTTCGTTTAGACGAAACAAAATTAAATGGCGAAATTAACAAAAGAATATTACTTTTTAGGATAATATAATTTTTAGAACAAATGATCAAGTTTTAATGTAACAATGTTATTTTTTTCAACGCAATAAAGCAAATTTTATTTATTTAATTTTTTAACAATTATAAAAAATCATTTTTTGTTAAACGTAACTTTTTTTTAAACAAAAACAAAAAATCTCATTGTTAAATTAAAATATATATCCTTGTTTATATGAATTAATTTTTTTTTCCACTTATTATTTTTACTTATTGATCCATTTCGATTCAAATTATTTCTATAATTACTGCGTCACTTAACGATTATTTCTTTGAATGATGTCTCGAAAAAATAACCGATATTATCAATTAAAAAAAAGCACGAGAAATGCGTAGATGTGCAAAATCAACATAAAAATACTTAATTTAAATTCTTGATATATTCAACAATGAAGAGAATAAGAGTTATTGAAATTCCTTCAATATATTCAAGATATTAATAACAATAAACCGGAAGGAAAAATAAAAGAGAAAATTTGATTAATAAAATTAGAGAATTATCTGAATCTCAAATGCAAATGCAACAAGCATATTACAAATAATGGTTTATCCTGAGGGAGATCGAAGTGGAGAGATTTTATCACAATTTTTACAAAAAAAAGCAATGGAATTTATTAAAAATACAATTTATAAAGAACATTCAGATGTACATGGTATTCAAAAAAAAAAAATACAATTACTTCAAAGTGAAAATAAAAAATTACAGAATAATAAGAAGAAATTAATTAAACAGGTTCATAGTTTATCAATAAAAGTCACAAAATCAAAAAATTACAAATCAAAATATATTTCTAAACTTCGATCTACTATTCAAAAAGCAAAAAAAATTACACCA